TATATATATATATATATATATATATAATATATATATATACTATACATGTCAATATATATATATATATATATATATATAAATATATATATATACATATATATATAAATATACATACTTATATAAATATATATATATATATATATATCCAATGATAGTGCCGTGCAATATTGTCACTAACATACCTTCAGCCTGCACGGTATGACATAATGCCAGCAAAGTGAAGAATCGTCGTACTTCAGGCTCGTCTGCTTCCGTGGCGGCAAACTAGAATCAATAGGAGATATACGAAAGACATATCAACAAAAAGAATAGCAACCCAAAAGATATCCAATCCATGGATATCGTCACTGGTATTAATCAAAGGTACACAGACACCAACCGCAATGACTGGTTAGTGAACCTAAGTTAGAGAGAAACTGAGACTTACACTTTATGAACAAACACAAAACAACAAATTAAAAAAAACAGAAAAAACAAAAACAGAAAAAATGTAAAACAAAATGAAGCACCTACCTACACACACATGAAGTACCTACCAAATTGTCGTCGTAGAAGGCAAAGTCCTTGTCGGCGTATTTGTTATCTGAAAAGTCAATCTCAGGCAGCGACGTTTCTCGACTCTCCAACACCTTAGTTGAACGCAGACGCTCCTTAGCTGCCCTACCAGCCTCTGAACAGCCCTTGGCGTACTTAACGCCTGGGGGCGAAGAAAACAATAGGGACCACATGATAAACTATAAATACCACATGATAAACTATAAAGACCACATGATAAACTATGAATACCACATGATAAGCTATGAATACCACATGATAAACTATGAATACCATATGATAAACTATGAATACCACATGATAAACTATGCATACCACATGATAAACAATGAATACCACATGATAAACTATGAATACCACATGATGAGCTACAAGTAGCACAGTATGTACTATAGGCACCAGATTATAGGGATAATGAGTACCAAAATATGGAATTGTGAGCTACTAAGGTTTGGAACTTGAGTACAAAAATTCAAGGTATCGATACCAAATTCTGAGTTGTATGCTTCATATCTTGAATTATGAACACCACACTATGAACTATGATGTACCCAATTACAAACTATGTGTACCGAACAGCGAGGATAACGAGCTTCAAATTATTACAAACAAGGAACAGTATGAAATGGGACCTGATGGCACTACATATGAAGTATGGGTATCATCTACTGAAATCAACGACACTGTACAGAGAGGTTATTGTAGATGCAGTGTATATCATACTAACACAATCACATGTCAGTGTCTGCCGAAGTTGAGAGAGAGGTTGTGGATGTGCCCAACATCTGTATGCGACAGCGCAGTCCACTTGAATATAAGTAGTGATTGACACTAGTCGACACTTAGTTGACACTAGTTGACACGTGTGCACTGGTTGACTCAGTGGTGCTGTGGGCTTATTGTATTGCATGTTCGAGCTTATTTACATGGACATACAGGAGAAGATACATATGCAGATTGTATTGTATGTGTATCTACATGTGTGCGGGTGCTGCTGTGGTTCTATGGTATATGCGTGTATATGTATATCCTGCACACAAATGCCCTACACACATCTATCTATTGAACCCCTGCTTACAGTTGCAAGTATATAGTGAGTGACAAAACAATACATATGGGCGTGTGGTTGGTGCGTCTGTCATTGTGGTACAGTCGAACGTCTGGTACATACCTTGAACACTGCACTTCAGGAAGCGCATGACATTTTGGGTCAGTGTGCCGGTTTTGTCCGAAAATACATACTCAATTTGTCCCAATTCTGGAGAAAGCGATCCAAAAAGTTTAGTTTTTAGGGGTTTGGATTTTTAGGGTTTAGAGTTAGGGTCGTCGACCGTGGAAGTTTACAGTGGAAAATAAGTAAGACAAAACAACCACACCGTATGGTGTGGGCAAAACCAAAGCACATGATAGTTCTACATACACCGACTTCGGGCCCTATACTATAGACGTACTCATCCCGGAGACATATTAGAGTGAGAGAGAGAGTATCTTCTGAGCCCAGAGGTTGTAGGACATGAGTGCATATGAGCCAGTAGGAGTTCTCCCATGATTTAGGGTTTAGGGCTTTAGGTCATGAGTGCATATGAGCCAGTAGGAGTTCTCCCATGATTTAGGGTTTAGGGTCATGAGTGCATATGAGCCAGTAGGAGTTCTCCCATGATTTAGGGTTTAGGGTCATGAGTGCATATGAGCCAGTAGGAGTTCTCCCATGATTTGTGTCAACGTACCTTCGTTGAGAGTCGTTGTACGCGCTTTGGCGGGTGTGTCGCTTTCGACATGGTACATGTTGAGGTCCCAGTCAATCAGAAAGCTCTGGCCCAATCTATTTATAAAACATTGAGAGGCGTAATGGAAACAGACAGTCAGTCTGTGACCCAATCTATTTATCGAACAATTGGGGTTGAGAGGGGCAATGGAAACAGACAGTCAGTCAGTGACCCAATCTATTTATAGAACAATTGGCGTTGAGAAGGGTAATGGAAACAGACGGACAGTCAGTGATCCAATCTATTTATATAACAATTGGGGTTGAGAGGGGTAATGGAAACATACAGTCAGTCAGTGACCCAATCTATTTATATAACAATTGGGGTTGAGAGGGGTAATGGAAACATACAGTCAGTCAGTTACCCAATCTATTTATAGAATAATTGGGGTTGAGAGAGGAACAGACAGTCAGTCAGTGACACAATCTATTTATAGAACAATTGGGGTTGAGAGAGGGGTATATGGTGCAGAGGTGAGAATGAGTATTGCGGGTCAGGATGGCCACTCTGGGCATAAACAGTCCTATCCGTAGACATGCAGGTGCATATTTATGGGGTGCGTAACAACAGTCCTATCCAGTGCAGGTGCATATTTATGGGGTACGGGATAATTATAGCAGGACACTTGGTGGAACGGAGATATTTGTCATAGCCCAGACGGGATGAAAAGAATTGAGACCTACACTCGCTTGTATCCGTGGGAATTAAAACGTCAAACAAAGCTCCCATTTTAGACGTAGGTTGCATGCAAGATGGACTCTTTCAACGAAAACACGGCATATATCGACACACAAAGCACACACACATACATACACCATACTCACACACTCACACACATACATCATACACACACACACACACACAAGCAAACAAACACAAGCAAACACACACACACACACACAAACACACACACACATACACACACATATATATATATATATATCCGGGTGGAAGTACATTTACCATATTTACACCCTTATCTACGCCCACAACATGGTACACCCCACATAACTACCTGATAAACTCCACCGACACGTAGAGTGAGATGGGGACGAGTGTGGAGTAGAGGATGATGAATGTGAAGAAGGCCAATGTACCAATCACTGCGGGTGAGTCCAGCCCAGTCTCAAATGGTAGGTAGATTTCAAAGTCTTCGCCAGTGTCTGGGTAGCGTGTGGGTGATATAGTTATGTGGGCGAGTGAGTAAGTGAGTGAGTGGTTGAGTGAGCGTGAGGTGTCTATGCTTGCTCGTGTAGTAGTAACCCTGCACACATTCAGCAAAGGGGATGTCCTTCCAACTGGTACATATGTACACCGCAACAAGAATGTGTACAGGACTGCAGAAGTGAATAAAACGTATTGATATCGTGCTTAGCCACCTGATACGTTACCATGGCTACTGGCACAGTGACTGTCAGAACTTGGTGGTGCCTGGCATTGGGCATGTACGACATAACTTGATACACTAAAACATGAGATGCATACGTTACACTTGAGATGACACATGACACTTAAAGTGTCTACGCTACACTTGAAAGGTGAACGTTACACTTCAGATGTACACAATACACTTGAAATGTAAACGTTACACTTCAGATGTACACAATGCACTTGAAATGTAAACGTTACACTTCAGATGTACACAATACACTTAAAATGTAAATGTTACAATTAAGATGTATACGTTATACTTCAGATGTACACTATACACTTGAAATGTAAACGTTACACTTCAGATGTACACAACACACTTGAAATGTAAACTTGACACTTGAAATGTATACGTTACACTTTAGATGCAAACGATACACTTAAGATGTACCCATCACAACACTTGAGCTGTACACACTTCAGATGTACACAACACACTTGAAATGTAAACGTTACACTTCAGATGTATACGTTACACTTAAGATGTACCCATCACAACACTTGAGGTGTACATATAGTGGCGAGTAACCTACTCTTGGCCCAGAGTCCACTGCCAATGCCTGATATCGTGCACAGAATAGTCAGCAACCCGAAGATGTAGATGATCAGCCGGTTGGTTTGGATGTCAATCTGTGATGGGTTGTGTGTTTATATGATATCATGAACTTCTGTTTATTCTGTGATGAGTTGTGTATTTATATGATATCATGCACTTGTTTATTCTGTGATGGGTAGTGTACTTATATGATATCATGAAATTGTGATTATTCTGTGATGGGTTGTGTATTTATATGATATCACGAACTTGGGTTTACTCTGTTATGGGTAGTATATTTGTATGATATCACGAACTTGTGATTATTCTGTGATGGATTGTGTATTTGTATGATATCACGAACTCGTGTTTATTCTGTGATGGGTTGTGTATATATATGATATTATAATTTGTACCTTTAAACCATCGATAATTGTATCCCATACACTACCTGTCTGCGGGATGTCCTCCTGTGATACGTGTTGTGTGGGGGGCTGATACTATCCTCAACGCACTAGACCGCTGAGACCTCTACAGTACACGCGCACGAATAAACCACACAGCCACATGGCTAGGCTACACCTACGTCTACTAATGTCATCGAAAAAACGGATGTGATAAACACGTACACCCGTATCCACGCACACACGTACACACGTACACACACGTACACACACATACACAGAGGGAGGCGAATGCCTGCAGATGTAATGGATTGTACCTTTGTGCGTTTGAACTGAGTGCCGCTGGCGTTCTTCATCAGCTTGGTCTCATGACCTGTGAATATGGCTAGGCCTGTGACCCACTTGGTATTGCGCAAAGTCATACCCTGCATATGGTAGTGGACAAATACGGAGGAATAAATAAATGAGTATAGAAACTCTAGATTGCATGCGATGTACACAAGGCTACAGCTGCATATAGAAGTGGACAAATACGGAGGAATAAATCAGTGAACTTACACAAGGCTACAACTCGGATGATATTCCACGGAGAAGCACTCGGTATATGGAAGTGTATAAATAAAAGGAAATAAAAATAACATACGCGTAGAAGCAGGTTGTCGTTGTCCAGGGGCAGTCGTGGATGGCCTGGTAGTTGAAAGGTGCCTTTGTAGTAGTGCAGATCTGTATTGGGTGGCTCGCAACGCACAAAACCTATTCACGTATGAATGTATTATACTCAGAACTTGACATGTGTGTGGGATATTCGGCTGTATACATATTCATGGGGTGAAGGCAGAGTGTATCCGTGGAGTGTTTGAGTGCGTCTGAAAGCTCGGTACAATAGATGTGGGGCTGGTTGAGATCAAATGTCGATGGTGTACAAGAGGTGTGCCACCGCGAGCGCGTTGCAACGTTAATACTGTCAACGTTATATAGTAGTACAAGTCAATGTTCAGATGACACACGGCCAATTAGAAAGAAGAAAATAGTTACATATATTGAAGATATTCACACTGAAGTGCAGATATTGTCGTATGTAAACACAAAGTGCTTTATATACATACATACATACATACATATATATATATATATATATATACATACATACATACATATATATATATATATAAACATAAACATATACATATATACATACATACATATATACATATATATTTATATATATATATATATATATAAATTAATACAAACAAATGGATATATAAATATAAATATAAATATAAATATATAAATATATATATAGATACATACATACACACATATATAGATATATATATAGATATAGGTATAGATATAGATATAGATATATATATATATATAGATATATATATATACAGATATATATATAGATATATATATTTGATCACGATGCGAATATATGCCTAGCACAATGCTACCTTGGAGGTTGTTGAGTGACGAGTCTTCTTGGTAGGCGGTTGCGGTCTCCTTCAAAGCCACTCTCAGCTTCAGATTTGTTTCGCTGAATATAGGATTTAAAACTCAAGATTAATTAAATTATCAAAACCCAGGATCAAATTAAATGGTCAAAAACCCAAGATCAAATGAAATTCATAACCCAAGATCAAATTAATTTCATAGCTACAGTTTGACACTTTTCATGGTTCTGTAGCAGTCGGATATATTCCGTTGAGGGGAGAAAGGCACACGGTATGATACAGGTGCAGGTATGAACAATCAGCAAGAAATCAACATGATTGCTATGGCCAATACAGACACATACACATGCCACATATTGATGTATTGCTCGCTCTGGACCACGCGAGATATATATATATATATATGTATAAATTTATGTATATATATATATATTTAGCATGATAATGAGTATATATAAATATACATGTATTGATACATACGCACATGTGTATGAACCATGCATGTAGATATTCACATACCCATCCAATTCAGCAGTCTCCACGAAGCAGTCGCCGTTCTCATCTGATGTGGCTATACACAGCAAATCACAGGCAATGGGGTCATCCTGCTCCACCCGTACAATGTCGCCTGTGAGCACCTCACGCCACTGTACTACTTGCCAGGCACCTTCGCTACGCATAACCTCAACCTCTCGTGTATTCACTTCCTTATCACTCTGATGCCGGGCCTATGTATATATGTTTATGTATATATATTTACGTATATATACATATACATATACATATACATATATATATATATATATATATATATATGTGTGTGTGTGTGAGTAAGTGTGAGATCCCATGTTTTGTTTATCTACAATTTAAATTACAAGCCTGCGTACTAAACAAAAAAATCGGGAGTCCAAGTGTTCCAAAGTGATGCAACTCAAATACATTCATAATTGGATACACTAACATCCCGATTTCGGCAATCGCTTTGAACTACTATAAAAACACTTACGTAGTCGTCGAATCCATCTTTGATGGCCGTCACGCAAAGTACCAACAGCAGGGGGAAAGCCGTGGTGATGGGATTCAGTGCCGAGATTTGCGGGATAAGCTGTGGGTTGCCACGGAGACACACACTTAGAATTGAGTAGTTGTGTTGCCATGGAGAGACACACACAGTATGAGTAGTTGGGTTGCCATGGAGACACACACACAGAGTATGAGTTGTTGTGTTGCCATGGAGATCATACCATGGAGACACACACAGGAGTATGAGTAGTTGCGTTGCCATGGACACACACACACAGAATATGAGTTATTGTGTTGCATGGAGACACACACAGAGTATGAGTTGTTAGTGTTGGTGTTGTGTTGAGCTCCTTGTGGGAAAGTCACATGTGGACGTTGCTGGCTTGATGAGGATCCAGGTTATAGCAGGAGTACAGATGTCTGCTAACCTCGTATACGTATGCGTGTCCTATACTGAGTTGGATGGATACAAACTTAATTCATACACTCCTGTAAACCTGCAGACCTAGACGCACCAAACAATCTCTGCACACAAGAGACATGCCCAACAAAGGTGTAGATGGGCAATTGCATGTACACCAATACACAAATACATGTAGTGTAGCCGTTTTAGCTATGTCGCTGGGTGTGCTCAAAGGGCGGCAATGGGTAAGAAAACGTGGAGTATTCGCTATCCGACGACAACAACGCCCCACAACTGTTTGTTTGTTTCATTGTTGGCTTGAAGTTATCAAAAAAAAAAGGGCAATACCAAATTTATGAATGAGGGCTAAGAACGTGCACTCACCTGGAGAATAATCAACAGCAAAAAGTAAACGTTCGCAATCCGTTGGAATTGTTCGAACAGGTTTATGGGCAAGAACGTCAGAACCGAGTACTTAGCAGTGGTCACAAAGTTGTCTTTATACTGCATTTGGGTTTATACAGAGGTAAGAATATCAGCAGTGGAATCGCGAGTGTTTTCCTGAATGCATAGCTGAAACAAGAAAAAACTATCTAAGATCAGGGAGGTGAGAAATAAAACCCTGAAATATTGAAAATGAGAATTGGCGTGTCATTTTGAACTGCACACCGATGCCACAAGAATCCAACAAAAACCAAAAGAGTACGAATTGGGCGACAGGGACACATGATCTCGTTTTGATATCAAACCAACGTTACATATGTGAACAGAACGATAGGTGATTGTATCGAGATTTACTTTGAAAAGATAAATTTCCCACACTTAGCATCGACTGCACCACGAACAACAAGTACAAAACCTTGTCAGCCATCACAGTCCCTCTAAAGTTGAAAAAAGATAGCCGTGCAATACACACACACA